TTTGTGCCTCTGATTTCTTTCTTTCCTAACACTATCCAGTACTATAATAATAGTGGTAATAGTACCCATCTTCTGATCCCTGACTTTAATGTGAGTGCTTTGGGATTTTTCCCATTAAGTATGGTGCTGCTGTTTAAGTTCTGCTGTACTTCTTCTCAAGTTAAAAAAGTGTTTATTCTCATTTGATAAAGATTGTTTTTGGAAAATAGATGTTGAGTTTTATCACTTGTTAATATGTTTTGGAATGGTTACTTGACTTTGCACTTTTGACTTAGAGTACAGATTTTCCTGTACTGAAATATACTTATATTCCTGGAAAAAAATACCTTCAGGTATGATGTATCTTATATTAATGTGCTTCTGAGCCATTCTGACATTTTATGTAGAATTTTTACATTGATATTCATAAGTGAAATTGGTGCCTAGTTTGCTTTTTTGGTTGTCATCTTTGTCAGGTTTTAGTATTAATATTTTGTTTCACTTACAAAAAATTGAGAAGTTTCCTTTTTTTCTTATGTAACATTTTACACATGAGCTTCATCCCTTAAATGTTTGTTATTATTCCCATGTGAATCTCTCTGGGCCATTTCTATTAGTTTTATTTTTAGGGGATTGCTTTTCATATTTTCTCTGTTTATTTTGTGGGAATTGGTCTATGTAGGTTTTCTACATCTTACTGTGAGTTTTGATATTTTGCATTTTCCAGAGAAATTACTCATTTCAAAGCTTATAGAAGTGTTTTTCAATAGAATCTTGCATATAGTTTTACAGATTTTAACTTCTTTTTTTCTCTATTATTATTTCTTCTTACTTTAATTTTATATTCTACATTCTCCCTTTTCTTAAACCAACAGTTCATCTATTTTCTTTCAGATCCTATTTAAAAGCAACGAAAGCTATGTGTATTCATGAATATCTATCTCTACTCATATTTCCTTTACTGGAATTTCCTAAAGCTTAGGAAATTGGAAATATGTACACCTGAAATTTGCTTAACAGTGAGAACCTAAGCCTTAGACCACCAATTAATCCCACAGTTACATACTTAAAGAAGTTTTCTTGATATTATAATATTAGAAAAACTTACAAGTGATATTTATTTGCAATCTATTTCAGGAGAAATATGGGGAATTGATGAACATCAGAAAATCCCGGAGAGACTTTTGACACAGTTTGAAAATAAATTCATAAAAACAATGACTGAAGAAAAAGTCAATGACTGTCATAGGATATTTGCAAGAAGTGCATTTCCTCTGAACTCAGGCTTTTTTCCTTCCAGTCACAATCTCTATGAATATGATTTGTTTAAAGAGTATTTAGAACATAATAATTTAAGCTATCAAAATAATGAGAGAATCCTTATAAGAAAGGAATACTATGAATATAATGAACCTATGAAATCATTTGGCAATAGCTTATCACATCTTGTAGTAACACCCTTTAAATGTAATCATTGTGGGAAGGGATTTACTCAAACCTTGGACCTCATCAGACACCTGAGAATTCATACTGGAGAGAAACCCTATGAATGTAAAAAATGTAGAAAAGCCTTCAGTCAAAAAGAAAAACTCACTAAACATCATAAAATTCACAGTAGGGAGCAGACTTATGAATGTAATGAATGTAGAAAAACTTTCATTAAAATGTCAAATCTCATTAGACATCAAAGAATTCATACTGGAGAGAAACCCTATGCATGTAAGGAATGTGGGAAATCCTTCAGCCAGAAATCAAATCTCATTGATCATGAAAAAATTCATACTGGAGAGAAACCTTATGAATGTAGTGAGTGTGGAAAAGCATTCAGTCAGAAGCAAAGCCTCACTGCACATCAGAAAGTTCATACTGGGGAGAAACCTTATGCATGCAATGAATGTGGTAAAGCTTTCCCTCGAATTGCATCCCTTGCTCTTCATATGAGAAGTCATACAGGAGAAAAACCATATAAATGTGATAAATGTGGAAAAGCCTTTTCTCAGTTTTCCATGCTTATTATACATGTGAGAATTCATACAGGTGAGAAACCCTATGAATGTAATGAATGTGGAAAATCCTTCTCTCAAAGCTCAGCCCTTACTGTACATATGAGAAGTCATACTGGTGAAAAACCCTATGAATGTAAGGAGTGTAGAAAAGCCTTCAGCCACAAGAAAAACTTCATTACACATCAAAAGATTCATACCAGAGAGAAACCTTATGAATGTAATGAGTGTGGGAAAGCTTTCATTCAGATGTCAAATCTGGTTAGACACCAGAGAATTCACACTGGAGAAAAACCCTATATATGTAAAGAATGTGGCAAAGCCTTTAGCCAGAAATCAAATCTCATTGCTCATGAAAAAATTCATTCTGGAGAGAAACCCTATGAATGTAATGAATGTGGTAAAGCCTTCAGCCAAAAGCAAAACTTTATTACACATCAGAAAGTTCACACTGGAGAGAAACCTTATGATTGTAATGAATGTGGTAAAGCCTTCTCTCAAATTGCATCCCTTACTCTTCATCTGAGAAGTCACACAGGGGAAAAGCCTTATGAATGTGATAAATGTGGAAAAGCCTTCTCTCAGTGTTCTTTGCTTAATTTACATATGAGAAGTCATACAGGTGAGAAGCCCTATGTATGTAATGAATGTGGAAAAGCCTTCTCTCAAAGAACTTCCCTTATTGTGCACATGAGAGGTCATACAGGTGAGAAACCCTATGAATGTAATAAATGTGGAAAAGCATTTTCTCAAAGCTCATCCCTTACTATACATATACGAGGTCATACAGGTGAGAAACCCTTTGACTGTAGTAGATGTGGAAAAGCCTTCTCTCAAATCTCATCTCTTACACTTCATATGAGAAAACACACAGGTGAGAAGCCTTATCATTGTAATGAGTGTGGTAAGGCTTTCAGCCAGAAGTCACACCTTGTTAGACACCAGAGAATTCATACACATTAGTATAAAACTCTATATATTGTGAGTATGGAAAAGCCTTCAGAAGGAATTAGCATCCTTGTACTTTATGTAATAGGTTCTAGAGCAGGAAACTATGAATGTGGGAAAGGCTTTTGAAGAAGTCACACACTTGTGAAACATGACAATTCTTACCAAAGTGACAAATTATATAGTGAAAAAGTTGAACATCAAAAACCTTCAGCAGTTATCTATTGTTAATACTTATTCAGCATTCTCATTAAAATATGAAATATCTCTGTCACTAGCATATACCAACATGATATTTGATCTCTTAGCCAATGTATTAAGCAAGAAAGAGACTGGGGGGAAAAGAAACTATAAAAATAACCTTTTACATGAGAAAAATAGTAAGAAAACATGTTGATATAAAATACCTAATAAATACAAAATGAATTGCAAGAATTTTGTGTAAAACGATAAAGCATTTTGAAAGGCACAAAACACCCAAAAATTTGAGAAAAATAACATTATCTGAAAAGACGTTTATAAAACAAATTCTCTTACAAATTTCAAAGTTGAAAATATTTCCACTCAGTTCTTACCAGTTAGTTATATTTTAAGAATTTCACAAACTGATTAAAAAATGTAAGAATGCAAAGGACCCACAAATAGCTGAAATGTGAAAAATAGAAGATACAGTCTACTAGATAACACATACTGTATTTGAAGCTGGTATCATTTAAACAGTGTTTTTGTGAGTAGATAAATGAGTGAGAACAAACAAGTTTGGAGGAGAGAGAGACAGGAATTTTATGTGATAGTGCTATTAAAATCACTATGGAAAGGATGTCCTATTCAATAAATGGAAGATCAATATGAACAAAAGATGTTAGCTCTTTATACCGTACACAAAGTAAAATCCAAATAGATTGAAAAGCAGAATATAAAAAGCAAAATTCTAAAACTATGATGAAAATAGGATATATTTATTACTTTAGAATAACAGAATTTCTCTAAAAATACATAGATATGGAATAATCAGTTCTATTTTGTTGTACTGGCTTCAGAGGCATATATGTGCCCAAAGAGATGTATATATCACTATGTTCACTGCATCATGATTTGTATTACTGTAAAGTGGACAAAACATGAATTTCCATTAGAGGGGATAGATCAATATGATGTAATTATTTTATGATAGTATACAGTATTTAGATAAAGTACAAATTTGACATATATGGATCACAATATATGAGAAAAATATACAGTGAAAACATTTGTCTACATTTAATAAAATAATTCAAAGAACAGTACAGTGTATTGATCATGGGTCCATATATGATACTGGTTGCCTTTTAGGAAGTTGGAAATGTTTGGAGGGAGTCATATTTGTAGTATTTCTTAAATAAAATGATGAAAGAAAATATGACAGAACATCTGGTTGTCAAGATTATTTTGAGGCTTCTGTGTGTGTGTGTGTGTGTGTGTGTGTGTGTTTCTTTCCTTATTTTCCTATTTCTCTTAAAATAATAAAATAGGTGGAGGAAACCTGGACCTATGGAAATAATTTTAAAATGGATTTTTTATCAGATAATAACATTTATAGAAAATTCTCTTTAATATACAAACCAAAACAATACTTTGCTTATTACCCTATACTCATATTAATAAGACAATGAACAATCACTCATATCTTCTCCAGAACTGCTTTCACATTACAACAGCAAAGTTGCATCAAAGACTGTGTGACCCACAAAGGCTAATCACTATCTGACCCTTTAAGAAAACATTTGCCAGCTTAATGTATGCAAATGCATCTGTGCTTCATATTGAAGCCCTTAATTCATATATATTTAGGCTTTATTTTTTCTCATCCAAAAGGGAACTGCAGCAGCGTTTTCTCATAACTCTGAATTTTTGCTTTTAATTGAAATATTGTTGATATACAATATTATATTGGTTTCAAATATACAACACAGTGAGTGGTTCAGCAGTTACCCATTCTATTAAATACTCACCCCGACTAGTGCAGTTACTATCCATCAGCATAGAAAGATGTTACACTTTATTATGTTATAGACATTGGCTATATTCTCCATGCCGTACTGCTATCCCCATAGCCAATTTAAATTATGATTGAGAATTTTTGTGCCCCCTTATCCCCCTCACCTTCCCCACCTACCTGCCCAAACCCCTCCCCCATGGTAACCACTAGTCACTTCTCAGTGTCTGTGAGTCTGCTGCTGTTTTGTCATAACTCTGACTCTTACACTCTCACCCAACAGATTTTTTCCTGAAAAAATAACATATCAGAATTTTGATTTGTTTGGTCCTGGCTTCCCTGACATACAGGCAAGTCTCCTGAAACCAGTCTACACTCCCAGATTTCAGAGTTGTAAATCATCGGGTAATTAATTCTGCCCAAGTTATGATATCCATCTTGATACTGTCAACTGCTTACCCTGCCCAAGGTCAGCATGAACAGCTGTCTTCTTTTAAAATCTTTCTTCCCCTGTTCCAGCCTTTACTGTATTTGTCACTGCCAACTGTATTATAATTAGGGTTACAGCCGCCCCCCGGGATCACTGAAGAATCAACTACTTTTCATTCTTGTTTCTAGAGAGGAAGAGGTCAGATGCTTTTTCATTCAGCCATCTTAAAACATGAAATAATTGCTGCCACATTTGATATTTTGACCTTGCGCTTGGAATTCTTTTTCACTTCTGCTTGGATAGTACCTCGATGACCTCATGTTACCTTCTACCTCAATATCTTTTGTTTAGCTGAGCTTCTCTTTTTCCCCTGAAATGACCCAAAAGCTTAGTATTCTGACTTCCTTTCTACATTTATAATCTGCAACCAAGTCTAGTTTTACCAGCTTTACAGCTTTACAGGATTTTTCTCTTTCATTATTATTTTCAGTCTGGCAGAGAGGGAGAAAAGTCTCCATTTTCCCCTCTTGGAGCTAAGTAGCAACAAGGGACTGAATGTCACCCTTCGGTATATAGATTTCCACTTTCTCTGTGCTTGAGCCTCCAATTCCCTTTCTCTCTATTCCTTTGCCTGTTGTCCCTGACTTTAGAGCCTTTCTTTTTACCATTTTTCTTGAGAGTGATCTTCCATCTTCTCTAGGGTAGAGGAATGGACTTTGTCTCTGTTAGTTTATACCTTTTAAAAAAATTTTTGGGTGGAATCAGAGACAAATTTGTGTATTTATAAACAATACTGAAGTTCAGTTTCTCACTCTGTTTTCCCCTGCCCTCATTATACTTAACTCCCTGTCCAGTCATGCTAGGTAGTCTTTTCCAGTTTTATGTTCCACCTCTTTCATCCAGTTTTTACATTCCCATTGTTTGTCCTCATTTTATTAATTACTGCAGAGTTCAGAGCATTTTATTTATTTACTTGCAAAGATACATAATACATGAGTGTCACATTTTTTAAAGTACAAAAGGATATATATTAAAAAGTAATTCTTTTTCTCTTACCCCTTCCCCCTCTACGGTGGCAACCCCTAACATCATTTTCCTTGGAGCTATTAGTTGTAGTTTCAAACACTGTTATTGAAATTACTTTAAGCTAGCTTGTGAGTAATTGTCATCCTTGCTATTGAATGTTCTTTTTCAAGAATGTGATATGCCTTTTGTCTTAGTTTCTTAGGGCTGTAACAAAGTACACACTGGGTGGCTTAATATAACAGAAATTTATCCTCATAGTTCCAGAGGTCAGAAAAACTAAATCAAAATGTTGGCAACGCCATGCTCCCTCTGAACCCTATAGGAAAAGGACTATTCCGCTTCTTTCAGCTTCTGGTAGCCCCAGACATTCCTTGGCTTTGGCGGCATACATCCAGTCTGTATCTTTATCTTTACATGGTATTCTCTCTGTGTGTTGTCTCTTTATGTGGCCTTCTTTTTATAAGAACACCAATCAGATTAGATTGGGGGTTATGCTACTCCAGAATGACCTCATCTTAACTAATTACATCTGCAATGACCATATTTCCAAATAACTTTTGAGGTACTAGAGGTTAGGACTTCAGCATATCATTTTTGCCGGGGGGCACACAATTCAACCCATAATATGTCCCATTTGTTCAAATATGTGTGTGCATTTTAAGGTTTTATTACAATTTTGGAACATTTCTTATTAGATTAATTCCCAGATTTTTCATTTTTTTCTTGCCATTATAAGTATAGTCTTCTATTATATTTCCTAAATAGTTGTTTATATGTATGAAGGTCATTGAAAGTAAATATTATATATACTGAATTTTAAAAATTTCTTTTTATAATAATTTTGTAGGTTACTTGATTTTGCAGGTAGTTTTATTATTGACAAATAATGTTTATTTTACTTTTCCAGATTTTTTGTGCCTCTGATTTCTTTCTTTCCTAACACTATCCAGTACTATAATAATAGTGGTAATAGTACCCATCTTCTGATCCCTGACTTTAATGTGAGTGCTTTGGGATTTTTCCCATTAAGTATGGTGCTGCTGTTTAAGTTCTGCTGTACTTCTTCTCAAGTTAAAAAAGTGTTTATTCTCATTTGATAAAGATTGTTTTTGGAAAATAGATGTTGAGTTTTATCACTTGTTAATATGTTTTGGAATGGTTACTTGACTTTGCACTTTTGACTTAGAGTACAGATTTTCCTGTACTGAAATATACTTATATTCCTGGAAAAAAATACCTTCAGGTATGATGTATCTTATATTAATGTGCTTCTGAGCCATTCTGACATTTTATGTAGAATTTTTACATTGATATTCATAAGTGAAATTGGTGCCTAGTTTGCTTTTTTGGTTGTCATCTTTGTCAGGTTTTAGTATTAATATTTTGTTTCACTTACAAAAAATTGAGAAGTTTCCTTTTTTTCTTATGTAACATTTTACACATGAGCTTCATCCCTTAAATGTTTGTTATTATTCCCATGTGAATCTCTCTGGGCCATTTCTATTAGTTTTATTTTTAGGGGATTGCTTTTCATATTTTCTCTGTTTATTTTGTGGGAATTGGTCTATGTAGGTTTTCTACATCTTACTGTGAGTTTTGATATTTTGCATTTTCCAGAGAAATTACTCATTTCAAAGCTTATAGAAGTGTTTTTCAATAGAATCTTGCATATAGTTTTACAGATTTTAACTTCTTTTTTTCTCTATTATTATTTCTTCTTACTTTAATTTTATATTCTACATTCTCCCTTTTCTTAAACCAACAGTTCATCTATTTTCTTTCAGATCCTATTTAAAAGCAACGAAAGCTATGTGTATTCATGAATATCTATCTCTACTCATATTTCCTTTACTGGAATTTCCTAAAGCTTAGGAAATTGGAAATATGTACACCTGAAATTTGCTTAACAGTGAGAACCTAAGCCTTAGACCACCAATTAATCCCACAGTTACATACTTAAAGAAGTTTTCTTGATATTATAATATTAGAAAAACTTACAAGTGATATTTATTTGCAATCTATTTCAGGAGAAATATGGGGAATTGATGAACATCAGAAAATCCCGGAGAGACTTTTGACACAGTTTGAAAATAAATTCATAAAAACAATGACTGAAGAAAAAGTCAATGACTGTCATAGGATATTTGCAAGAAGTGCATTTCCTCTGAACTCAGGCTTTTTTCCTTCCAGTCACAATCTCTATGAATATGATTTGTTTAAAGAGTATTTAGAACATAATAATTTAAGCTATCAAAATAATGAGAGAATCCTTATAAGAAAGGAATACTATGAATATAATGAACCTATGAAATCATTTGGCAATAGCTTATCACATCTTGTAGTAACACCCTTTAAATGTAATCATTGTGGGAAGGGATTTACTCAAACCTTGGACCTCATCAGACACCTGAGAATTCATACTGGAGAGAAACCCTATGAATGTAAAAAATGTAGAAAAGCCTTCAGTCAAAAAGAAAAACTCACTAAACATCATAAAATTCACAGTAGGGAGCAGACTTATGAATGTAATGAATGTAGAAAAACTTTCATTAAAATGTCAAATCTCATTAGACATCAAAGAATTCATACTGGAGAGAAACCCTATGCATGTAAGGAATGTGGGAAATCCTTCAGCCAGAAATCAAATCTCATTGATCATGAAAAAATTCATACTGGAGAGAAACCTTATGAATGTAGTGAGTGTGGAAAAGCATTCAGTCAGAAGCAAAGCCTCACTGCACATCAGAAAGTTCATACTGGGGAGAAACCTTATGCATGCAATGAATGTGGTAAAGCTTTCCCTCGAATTGCATCCCTTGCTCTTCATATGAGAAGTCATACAGGAGAAAAACCATATAAATGTGATAAATGTGGAAAAGCCTTTTCTCAGTTTTCCATGCTTATTATACATGTGAGAATTCATACAGGTGAGAAACCCTATGAATGTAATGAATGTGGAAAATCCTTCTCTCAAAGCTCAGCCCTTACTGTACATATGAGAAGTCATACTGGTGAAAAACCCTATGAATGTAAGGAGTGTAGAAAAGCCTTCAGCCACAAGAAAAACTTCATTACACATCAAAAGATTCATACCAGAGAGAAACCTTATGAATGTAATGAGTGTGGGAAAGCTTTCATTCAGATGTCAAATCTGGTTAGACACCAGAGAATTCACACTGGAGAAAAACCCTATATATGTAAAGAATGTGGCAAAGCCTTTAGCCAGAAATCAAATCTCATTGCTCATGAAAAAATTCATTCTGGAGAGAAACCCTATGAATGTAATGAATGTGGTAAAGCCTTCAGCCAAAAGCAAAACTTTATTACACATCAGAAAGTTCACACTGGAGAGAAACCTTATGATTGTAATGAATGTGGTAAAGCCTTCTCTCAAATTGCATCCCTTACTCTTCATCTGAGAAGTCACACAGGGGAAAAGCCTTATGAATGTGATAAATGTGGAAAAGCCTTCTCTCAGTGTTCTTTGCTTAATTTACATATGAGAAGTCATACAGGTGAGAAGCCCTATGTATGTAATGAATGTGGAAAAGCCTTCTCTCAAAGAACTTCCCTTATTGTGCACATGAGAGGTCATACAGGTGAGAAACCCTATGAATGTAATAAATGTGGAAAAGCATTTTCTCAAAGCTCATCCCTTACTATACATATACGAGGTCATACAGGTGAGAAACCCTTTGACTGTAGTAGATGTGGAAAAGCCTTCTCTCAAATCTCATCTCTTACACTTCATATGAGAAAACACACAGGTGAGAAGCCTTATCATTGTAATGAGTGTGGTAAGGCTTTCAGCCAGAAGTCACACCTTGTTAGACACCAGAGAATTCATACACATTAGTATAAAACTCTATATATTGTGAGTATGGAAAAGCCTTCAGAAGGAATTAGCATCCTTGTACTTTATGTAATAGGTTCTAGAGCAGGAAACTATGAATGTGGGAAAGGCTTTTGAAGAAGTCACACACTTGTGAAACATGACAATTCTTACCAAAGTGACAAATTATATAGTGAAAAAGTTGAACATCAAAAACCTTCAGCAGTTATCTATTGTTAATACTTATTCAGCATTCTCATTAAAATATGAAATATCTCTGTCACTAGCATATACCAACATGATATTTGATCTCTTAGCCAATGTATTAAGCAAGAAAGAGACTGGGGGGAAAAGAAACTATAAAAATAACCTTTTACATGAGAAAAATAGTAAGAAAACATGTTGATATAAAATACCTAATAAATACAAAATGAATTGCAAGAATTTTGTGTAAAACGATAAAGCATTTTGAAAGGCACAAAACACCCAAAAATTTGAGAAAAATAACATTATCTGAAAAGACGTTTATAAAACAAATTCTCTTACAAATTTCAAAGTTGAAAATATTTCCACTCAGTTCTTACCAGTTAGTTATATTTTAAGAATTTCACAAACTGATTAAAAAATGTAAGAATGCAAAGGACCCACAAATAGCTGAAATGTGAAAAATAGAAGATACAGTCTACTAGATAACACATACTGTATTTGAAGCTGGTATCATTTAAACAGTGTTTTTGTGAGTAGATAAATGAGTGAGAACAAACAAGTTTGGAGGAGAGAGAGACAGGAATTTTATGTGATAGTGCTATTAAAATCACTATGGAAAGGATGTCCTATTCAATAAATGGAAGATCAATATGAACAAAAGATGTTAGCTCTTTATACCGTACACAAAGTAAAATCCAAATAGATTGAAAAGCAGAATATAAAAAGCAAAATTCTAAAACTATGATGAAAATAGGATATATTTATTACTTTAGAATAACAGAATTTCTCTAAAAATACATAGATATGGAATAATCAGTTCTATTTTGTTGTACTGGCTTCAGAGGCATATATGTGCCCAAAGAGATGTATATATCACTATGTTCACTGCATCATGATTTGTATTACTGTAAAGTGGACAAAACATGAATTTCCATTAGAGGGGATAGATCAATATGATGTAATTATTTTATGATAGTATACAGTATTTAGATAAAGTACAAATTTGACATATATGGATCACAATATATGAGAAAAATATACAGTGAAAACATTTGTCTACATTTAATAAAATAATTCAAAGAACAGTACAGTGTATTGATCATGGGTCCATATATGATACTGGTTGCCTTTTAGGAAGTTGGAAATGTTTGGAGGGAGTCATATTTGTAGTATTTCTTAAATAAAATGATGAAAGAAAATATGACAGAACATCTGGTTGTCAAGATTATTTTGAGGCTTCTGTGTGTGTGTGTGTGTGTGTGTGTGTGTGTTTCTTTCCTTATTTTCCTATTTCTCTTAAAATAATAAAATAGGTGGAGGAAACCTGGACCTATGGAAATAATTTTAAAATGGATTTTTTATCAGATAATAACATTTATAGAAAATTCTCTTTAATATACAAACCAAAACAATACTTTGCTTATTACCCTATACTCATATTAATAAGACAATGAAAGTCAATAGTATACATCATTTGTGTGAGTTAAATTTTTAAGTTTTTTGTTGAAATGTAGTTGTACAATATTGGTTTCAGATGTACAACAGTGATCTGACAGTGATGCACATTAATAAGTGTAGTTACCATCTGTCAAAATAAAAAGAATGACAATGTTATTGACTATACTCCCTTAGCTGTACTTCCATCCCTGTGAATACTTTATAATTTGAAGTTTGTACCTCTTTATCCTCATCAACTCTTTCACCCATCCCCCATCTCCCTAACTTATGGTAAGTAGCATAGCAGTACATTATCTGTTTATGAACATATTTGTTCATTGTTTTTTAGATTCCTCTATAAAAGAATATGGTTTTTCTCTTTGAACTATTTCACTTATCATAATGCCCTCTAAGTGCATCCATGTCACAAATGGCAAGATTTAATTTGTTTATGGCTGAGTAATATTCCATTTTATATATGTACCACATTTCCTTTATCCATTCATCTATTGATGGACATTTGGGTTGCTTACATATCTTGGCTATTGCAAACTATACTGCAGTAAACATACTGTTCCCTGTATCTTTTTGAAGTAGTGATTTTTTCTTTTTCTTTATTGTTTTTTACTAACTAAAGTAGAGACTTTATTTGCATTTAACCTGTCTCAACACAAATGTCTTTTGCTATTCCAGGATTCAATCCGGGATACTAAACTGTATTTAATCACTTACTTTTATAAACAGTTGACTCTGTATGAAAGTATCTCAAAAACAGAAAAGTGCTTTGTAACATATTTTTCCCCCCAGTACTATAGCATAGTTTTTAAAATTTAGACTCTGGAAACAAACAGATGGATTTGTATCCTGGTTCTGCCATATGTTAGCTGTGTGGTCTCTTTAAACTTCTCAGTATCCTCATTTCCAAATTGAAAATTATAAACAGTGCTTCTGTCATGGAATTGTGAGCATTCAAGAACAGGGGAATTGCTGAGCACTTAATACCAAACCTGGTAAAGGTAAACTGGTAAGCCCTTAAAAATAACAAACATTTATATTCTATATTGTACAGTGACTATGGTGCTGGATATTAATGAATTTAGAAGTACTAATCTTTCAATGGTAAATGTATTTGTAAAAGATACCGAATTCTTTTGTGTACGTTATTTAAGGCCAGCCATATTTTTTTAGGGTAACACTGAGGGCAGTTTGCCCACAAATGAAGCTACATCTATTTATAATATTACTGCATCATTGTAGAATAACTTTTAAAAGGTTAGTGTTCAAGGATGTACCTTTTGTGTGTGTGTGTGTGTGTCTGTGTGTCTTGCTGGAACTTTTTTTAAATTAAGGTATCATTGATATACATTCTTATAAAGGTTTCATATGAGAAACAATGTGGTTACTGCATTCACCCATACTATTGAGTACCCCCTCCCCATACCCCATTGCAGGCACTGTCCATCAGTGTAGTAAGATGCAACAGAGTCTACTTGTCTTCTCTGTGCAACATTGTATTCCCCATGACCCCCCCACACCGTGTGCACTAGTCAAAATACCCCTTAATCCCTTCTCCCTCCATCCAAACCCACCCTCCCTCACCCCTGCCGTTCGGTAACTGCTAGTCCCTTATTGGAGTTTGTCAGTCTGCTGCTGTTTTGTTCTGACAGTTTTGCTTCATTGTTATAGTACGAAAATGAGAAATCATTTGGTATTTGTCTTTCTCTGCCTGACTTCTTTCATTGAGCATAATACCCTCTAGCTCAATCCATGTTGTTGCAAATGGTAGGATTTGTTTCTTATGGCTGAATAAAAAGTCCCATTTGTTCACTTTTGCTTTTGTTTCCTTTGCCTGAGGAGATGGGTTCAGGAAAAAATTGCTCATGTTTATATTCAGGAGATTTTTGCCTATGTTATCTTCTAAGAGTTTCATAGTTTCATGAGTTATATTCAGGTCTTTGATCCATTTCAAGTTTACTTTTGTGTATGGGGTTAGACAATAATCCAGTTTCATTCTCTTGCATGTAGCTGTCCAGTTTTGCCAGCACCACTTGTTGAAGAGGCTATTGCCCCATTGTATGTCCATGGCTCCTTTATCATATATTAATTGGCCATATATGCTTGGGTTTATATCTTGGATCTCTACTTTGTTCCACTGGTCTTTGTGTCTGTTCTTGTGCCAGTACCAATTTGTCTTTATTATTGTGTCTTTGTAGTAGAGCTTGAAGTTGGGGAGCACAATCTCCCAGCTTTATTCTTCCTTCTCAGGGTTGCTTTGGCTATTTGGGGTCTTTTATGGTTCCATATGAATTTCAGAAGTATTTGCTCCAGTTCGTTGAAGAATGCTGTTGGTATTTTGATAGGGATTGCATTGAATCTGTAGATTGCTTTAGGCAGGATGGCCATTTTGACAATATTAATTCTTCCTATCCATGAACAAAGGATTTATTTCCATTTATTTGTATCTTCCTTAATTTCTCTCATGAGTGTCTTGTAGTCTTCAGGGTATATATAGGTCTTTCACCTCATTTGTTAGGTTTATTCCTAGGTATTTTATTCTTTTTGATACAATTGTGAATGGAATTGTTTTCCTGATTTCTCTGCTAGTTCATTGTTAGTGTATAGGAATGCAACAGATTTCTGGGTATTAATTTTGTATCCTGCAACTGCTGAATTCAGATATTCTAGTAGTTTTGGAGTGGATTCTTTAGGGTTTTTTATGTACAATATCATATCATCTGCAAATAGTGACAGTTTCACTTCTTCCTTACCAATCTCGATGCCTTTTATTTCTTTGTGTTGTCTGATTGCTGTGGCTAGGACCTCCAGTACTATGTTGAATACAAGTGGGGAGAGTGGGCATCTTTGTCTTGTTCCCAATCTTAAAGGAAAAGCTTTGACAATATTTTCATGGGAAGACATAATACCCATTCTCCTTAAAGTTTTCCCCAAAATAGAAGAGGAGGGAATACTTCCAAACTCATTCTATCAGGCCAGCATCACTCTAATACCAAAACCAGGCAAAGACACCACAAAGAAAACTAAAGACCAATATCAATATCCCTGATGAAGATAGATGAAAAATATTCAACAAAATATTCCCAAAACAAATTAAAAAATATATCAAGGGGATCATACATCATGATCAAGTTGGGTCCAGCCCAGGGACCCAATATTTAAAAATCCATCAACATCATCCACCACATCAGCAAAAAGGACAAAAACCACATGAGCATCTCTACAGAGGCTGAAAAAACATTCGACGAAATTCAACATCCATTCATGATAAAAACTTTCAACAAAATGGGTATAGAGGGCAAGTACCTCAACATAATAAAGGCCATATATGACAAACCCACAGCCAACATCATACTTAACAGCAAGAAGCTTTTCCATTTCTTCTAGGTTATCCAGTTTGTTAGCATATAATTTATCATAGTATTCTCTAATAATTCTTTGTATTTCTGTGGTATCCATAGTGATTTTTCTATTCTCATTTCTGATTCTGTTAATGTTTGTAGACTCTTTTTTTCTTGATAAGCCTGGCTAGGGGGTTATCTATTTTTTTTATTTTCTCAAAGAACCAGCTCCTGCTTTCATTGATTCTTTCGATTGTTTTATTCTCATCGATTTTATTTATTTTTGCTCTAATCTTTATTATGTCCGTCCTTCTACTGACTTTGGGTCTCATTTGTTCTGCTTTTTCTAATTTCATTAATTGTGAGTTCAGGCAGTTCATATGGGATTGTTCTTTCTTGAGGTAGGCCTTCGCTGTGTCCCACTGATTTTGCATTGTTGAAATATTGTAGTCATTTGTCTCCAAATATTGTAGTCACTTGTCAAGCCAAACAGGCTTGACCTCTGGTTTTTTTTTTTTGGTCATTGATCCATTGGTTATTTAGGAGCATGTTGTTAAGCTTCCATGTGTTTGTGGGCTTAGAGATTTTGTTTCTTCCGGAAAATTCTGAAGAAATTTTGTTAGGTTGTATGGTATTTCTAATTTTACTTTTTTGAGAAACCTCCATACTGCTTTCCATAATGGCTGCACCAATTTACATTCTCAACATTGTGCAAGACTTCCTTTTGCTCAAAGTGCTCACCAACATCTGTTGTGTCCTCTTTTCTTGACATTAGCCATTCTGACTGGGGTGAGGTGGTATCAATGGGGTCTTGTTTTTCATCTCCCTGATGATTAGTGATCACCTTTTCATGTGTCTCTTGGCTATGGGTATCTCTTCTTTAGAGAAATGACTTTTCAGTTCCTCTGAAAGCTTTTAAAATCAGATTATGTGGGGTTTCTTTGTTTTTGTTTTTTACCATTGGCTTCTATGAGTTCTTCATGTTTTGGATTTAAGCCTCATCAGATATATCATTTGCAGATATATTTTCCCATACAGTGGGATATCTTTTCATTTTGTTCATAGACTCCTTTTCTTGTAGAACCTTTATAGTTTGATGTAGTCCTACTTGATTATTTTTGTTTTTGTTCATCTTGCTTGGGAAGACATAGCCAGAAAAATATTTCTAATGGCAATATTCAAGAATTCATTGTCTGTATTTCACAGTTTTATGGGTTCAGATCTTATATTTAAATCTTTAATCCATTCTGAGTTAATTTTGTGTGTATGATGTGAGACAATTGTCGGCCTCCTCCCCGTTGCTGACCCACAGACAAAGGAGGAGACGCGATGAGATATCAAAGACCTGAGTAGGCCAGCCAGGGGACTCAAGGCATACCAGCTCAAGAGTGGTGCTGGAAAGGCAC